GTTATTGTTCTTAGAGTGTTTGTTATTACCTTCATCATTACTTGTGTATGTGCTATAATTGTTAGAGTGTTTGTTGTTACCTTCATTGTTACTTTTGTATGTGTTATTATTGTTAGAGTGTTTGTTGTTACCTTCATCATTCCATGTGTACCTGTTATTGTTGTTAGAGTGTTTATTATTACCTTCATCATTACTTGTGTATGTGTTATTGTTGTTGGCGTGTTTGTTATTACCTTAGCATTGCGTGTATATCATGGGTGTTTGTTGACTCATCTGTTACATTACACTCTAAACCCTAAACCCCTAAAACATCTCGACATCAGGACTTCAAAGTGTTCAAGAATATCAAGATGGACACTTCACGTGTGGAGGTGTTGGAAGCGCTGCGCAAGGGTGAACGTCTGCACAAGGAATGGCTCAAATGGAAAGAGCAGAAGAAGCTGAAGGGATTTGAAACAGACCTGCAGTACTCAGACAACGACAGCACCACCGACGACAGCAGCAGCGACTGAGGCACCCACACAACACACAACACACCTTATATGAAGCACACACACTGCTAATAGAACCCCCATACCTTATATGAAACACACACACCACACAACACACAACACACCTTATATGAAGCACACACACTGCTAATGGCACAGACCACCGTACGAATGTACGACAGTACACAATACGACAGAACGTCTCTACGACAGGACGATAGCACTGCAGCACAACAGAACCACAAGGTCACACGAAGGTATTGCCCTGTACACGATGACCGGTGCAAAGTATGAACCTGGGATGCGCAAATCCATCATGACAACGCATGCGCTTAAACCTTAAACCCTAACTGAAACCCAGCACCTATCAACACGCCTATGGCAACACACCTATGGCAACACACCTATGGCAACACACCTATGTTAACACACCTATGGCAACACACCTATGACAACACACCTGTGACAACACACCTATGACAACACACCTATGACTACACACCTGTGACAACACACCTATGACAACACACCTATGACAACACACCTGTGACAACACACCTGTGACAACACACCTATGACCACAGCAGCGGTTGAGCAAAGGCGGACACTGTGACCACTGACCATGAATTGCCCAGGCGGTGCAGTCGAATGGGAGACTGCAATATCCATCAACGCAGCGGGACTGTGCTGCAATGTGTGACCCTCTCACTTAAATGAACGAGAGAGTGTGTGTGAGAGAGAGAGCGAGCGAGAGATAGAGTGTGTGTGTGTATGCGTATGTGTGTGTGTGTGGGGGGGGGGGGGGCGGGCATTTAAAGTTGACTTCCGTCGCACTAATTCAGACTCTCGTTGAGTTAACAACCGACATCACCACAGCACTCTGCAATGGAGAACAGAACAACCCAACAACCCAACAACCCAACAACCCAACTAGACAGTAAAATAAGTACATGCTGTTGTGGGAAAATAGCCACCACCAACAACAACAGCATCAACAGCTACGACACTAACACAGCGGAAGGGTGTGCTTGTTTTAGGGTTTATGGTTTCAGAGTTTTCATTCGATGAGAACGAATGAATGTCAGAGGCACCGCACTTCAGATACAAACGACCCAGTCATAGGCACACACGCAGTCATAGCCAACACATGTTGTAGTGGGTTAAGCACCCCCGCAAGTGCACAAACTGAATGGATAAAGTCATAACCACACCCGTTGTAGTGAGGTAAGCACCCCTGTAATTGCACAAACTGAATGAATTAAAGTCATAACCACACACGTTGTAGTGAGGTAAGCACCCCTGCAAGTGTGCACACAAACACACACACTGCAACTGAAGGGTGGGTACAGCAAACAGCAATCACACCTATATCAACCACACACATACACACATTACATACACTATATTAACCATACACATACATGCACTACATACACTATATCAACCATACACATGCATGCACTACGTCCACCGCTAAGGACAAGGTATAACCCCTAAAACCCCGTTCGTAACAATACAATATAGAGTATTAATCTGTTTAGCATGTAAAAGCTAAAACCCTAAAACAGATGACGTTGTATTCTGCATGACCTATATGTTGTAACAACCGATCACAGATAAACTTTCTGAACAGTACGCATATGTGCCGTTGGTTGGGATGAGAATGGTCACTTGTCATCCATCACAACCGTTGAGAAGACTGGAACGCCTTAAGTTAAACTGACGACACTCGACCACACATTCGGAAGTGGTCATGAGCAATTAAAACCCTAAACCCTAAAAACAGGTGGAGAAGAGGGGCAGGTCATGGGATTTTGTTCAAACAACTTCATTGGATTAGTATTAGTAGCAGAGGAGAGGAGGGTTAACTAATCAAAGAACGATGCAAACAACCCCGTTGGGCTAGTATTAGTAGCAAGGGAGGGTTTACTACTTACAGAACGGTGCAAGCAGCTCCATTGGATTAGTATTAGTAGCAGAGGAGAGGAGGGTAAACCAATTAAAGAACGATGCAAACAACCCCGTTGGACTAGTATTAGTAACAGGTGAGGGTTTACTACTTACAGAACGGTACAAGCAGCTCCATTGGATTAGTATTAGTAGCAGAGGATAAAGGGTAACTAATTAATGAACGATGTAAATGACTCCATTAGACTAGCAGTAGTAGCAGGGAAGGTTAAC